AATGATTCTCGATCGACGTCAGCGTCTCCAGAGTTATCTTACTTCAGGAGAGCAAGAAGTAATGGCAAAAATCTCTGCAGCCATTCTTGAGCATTTCCTTCCCAATGGAAATTAAACTGTTGTAATAGTTTTATTCTAAAGAGACTGGAGAGTCGTAAAAGCCTCTTCAATTCTGGCCCTTACCAATCGGTAATTCCTCCAGAATTTCAAATCTCTGAACTGAAAGGGACAGTCCTGAGGGGCAGATAAACAGGTATGTGATCATAGAGGTACTTAAAACCTCTGTATTACTATCAGAATCCTATCAGGATCAGCTCGTCTCATTGTAACTTTTTGTTGGTGAACCACATGATTAGCAATGGTTAATTTTTCACATTAAAAGGTTGAATAAATTTATGAGAACTCATAACTTCAATTGAAGGATATGAAAACCCTTCCAAAACTAATACTTTGTGACACATTCACGGATGGAAATGTCTTCAAAGTCGTATATTTCCTGCCCCAGTAGATGTGGAGCATGAAAAGTTCCGTTGTTTTGGCATGGGTGGTATTTTTTCCAATTCCTACCCCTCATTTGGAATTGCGACTATAGTTCTCTAGTTTCGCGAGAGTCATGAGGTCGGTCATGAATCTTATTGATTCGGAGGCTTCATATCATCCACTTATTTAGATGATATTTTATTATTGGTTTTCTGGCTATTAAGTATGGTACCAATACAAAATTAAACTGTCAAGACTCTTTCTTGTCTGAGCCGTATTAAAAAGCAAAAAGCGTTGTGAATACCTTAGTATTATCAATGACTCTTACAAGTTTTGCCTAGAAACACCTTATGAAAGATAATATGCGTACAGCGATTTACGGAACAAATAGTCTATTTCATCATCTGCAATCTGGAAAATTTATTCCTATTTTCATTGACTTTTCTCAACAAATTATGGAGTTTCAATGACAAAATTCCTTTAAATATTAAACGAAATGTAACTTAATAAAAATTTTTAGGCATTGCAACAGAAATTTTAGCTAAAAATTCTCACGAGAAAATTTTAATTATCAACAGATTTTTCTCTCCGTATAATCTACTCACCCCGTTTACTTCTTCTGCTACTGAGATTTATCTGTAATCATTGATTATTTTATGTTTACTAAAAGTAAAATTTCCGATAATTGATGGAAAATTACGTGGTTGATCGATCGAAAATCGTCGTTGAAACTCGACACCGTGGTCGACGCGTCCTTGGATACGTTCATTATCAGAAAAATATAGCAAGATAAGAAAAAAGAAATGAGTCCCTCTTTTTTTACTCACTGTCGAGGATATGCTCGAGTGCCCTCAGGGTACCTGGTAGCCTCACTCTGTGTTTCTTTTCAGCCGCAATGTATGGATCCCAGCACTTGTACCCGCCACAGTGAAGCGAGTGGAGAGAGGTCCCCCTCGTATTATCCGCGTTAGTCTCTTTATCTTTCTCCCTCTTGCTCTCTGTCTCTCACCCATTTCTCCTTCATTTATCCGTTTTTCAAATAATCCAGCCAACAATTTGTTGCACTGCCAATCACTCCGCCCTCATTTGTGCATTTTCTCTGTTCATTTACAATATTTTGTTTCCGAATGGAAGCTTTGTAATCCTTCAAGTTTAAGTTGCGGTTTTTTTGTGTTATACTCGGAAGAAAAATATACTTGAATTGAGTATATTTTATACCAAAATCAAGTATATGCATAAACTTGATTCAAGTATAAAATATCTCTTTATATTATAAAAATCCAAATCGACTTCTGGTGATAAAAATTTGGCACTCGAAACTGAGACTCCACAATTAAGGGTCACAAGGGTTAAAATAATAATCATGAGTCAGAATAAAGGTCATAAGGGTCAGAATAACGGTCACAAGGTTCAGAATCAGGGTCATGAGGGTGAGAATACCTGTCACGAGGGTCAGAGTAAAGGTCATGAGAGTCAGAATAAGAGTCGTAAGGGTCAAATTAAAGGTCACGAGGATCAGATTAAGAGTTTTTAAGGGTGAGAATAAGGGTCACGAGGTCATATGCGAGTCATATGAGGGTTGGCGAGTGGAGCGAGAAGGGGGCGTAGCCCCCTAGTTCAAGTATATTATTCTTGATTCGAGTATATAATATACTTTATTCAAGGATATTATGTTTGATTCGAGTATAAAATATACTTGAATCAAGAAAAAAATACACTTGAAAAAAAAACTTGATTCGAGTATAAAATATACTTGAATCAAGTATATTTTATACTCGAACAGGGGATGGATGTTTCAATTCAAGGATGATTATTTCGTATCAGCCCAGGTTGTAACAAGCGCTCTCACGTGTAATATAAGGGTTAGACACTAACTGTAAGAATATCATGGTCAAAAAGTGGAGGTTAAAAAATGAGGATCAGAATATTAGAGTTAAAAACCGAGGGCCTGAATGAAACGGTGAAGGAATGAGGGTCAGACTGTTAGGGTTAAAAAAGAGAATCACAATATTAGGATAAAAAAATTAAGGTTAGAAAATAATAGTAAAAAAAGTGGGTGTCAGGCAATGAGGGTCATATAAAGGGTAACAACGGTGATCAAGCATAATATATGACTTATATTTAGACCCTCATTGCCTAACCCACTTTTTTTACTTTCATATTCTGACCCTTATATTCGGACACTTAGTGCCTGACCCTTATATTATACTTGAAAGAACTTGCTACAACCCGGCCTGATACGAAAGAATTATCTTCGAATTAAAATACCCATCCCCTAATTGAATATAATTGATATTTAAATTTTTTTTATTCTCCAAAAATCCATTATGTTCCACAAAATCCGGGAATGCAAATGTTTGGACTGTGTCCGTACGTATGTATGTGTGTGACAAAGGTTTTCGTCAATTCTTCGCTAATGAATCAGTGGAATTACATCATTTCTTTTTCTTAAGAGTCGGTGTTCTTGAGCCCTATGCATCGCTATAAATTAAAATTTTAAATTATTATAATTTTTTTAATTTTGGATTTTTTCCAAAAATCGGTTGTCTTACGGTAACTAAAAAAATGTTCGGACTTCATTGAATAATGACTTAAAAAAATGTTTGGAAGCCCTTTTGACCGAGCAATTGTTGTGTTTTTTTGAAAGGATAATAAGAATAATGATAATGATAACATTCAACTAAGTTGAAAATCTGCTACAATTGTTTATAAATAAATTTCAGTCAATTTAATAACACAAAACAAACAATGAATTATACACCATAGAAGGAAATGATATGCAAGATGACCATTCGGAAGCATATTGCTAGTTTACTAGCAAAAATAACTATACTGTATACAATACAAGAGCATTTTTCCACTTGTTTTTCCTATTCTTGCTGTTAATTATCTGCAGCTTTCAAGACTTAACGTTACTGTCTCATCTTCATTTCCTCGATGTCATAACAAGGTTATTTTTTTCCCCCAAGTGAATTTTAAAAGGAAATGTAATGAGAATTTGAGGACACGAGAACACAAATTGTGAAAGAGAATAATTGACAGTTGGCCTAGGAACGATTTCCATAAAATTATTTACCATAACTATAAAATTTCTATTGTCCTGTCGTCTCGTGCCAGCAGTAGAGGCTGTCGCTGCCACAGGGATCATCCGAAAAGCAGCGAGACTCAGTCTAAAGGGCTGAACCATCGACTTAGCTAACTAGCAACCCTCAAATCCAAAAACTATTGTCTAAATCTTGTCACAACCCCCCCACCGTTCTCAACCAAAGTTTCCAATATTTTCTTCTTGCTCTTCAAAAGAAATGACAAAAAAACAAAATCCAATAATAAACATATCTACTTGTGGACCAATTAACCACTTGTGCACTTGGAGTCTATCAAGACCCAGAGACATAGAGGGAGAGAGGACATTAATATTAATTAAAACCCCGATGCCAAAACTAATGAGAGAGACCGCGAGCACCCATTGGCAAAGTCGCGTTGTAAGTACGAACCCTTTTGAAGCATGAAAAACCAAACAAATCCGTTGCAAATTGTCCTGAAAAAAAATACACCGTGAAACTCTCTCAATCACATCAATCATCATAGAACATTCCCCCCCCCCCCCC